CAAAAGTGGAATTTGGGGAATATGTAGTTCAATGTGTGGAATATTGCTATGCTCAAAATTATGGGGCTTATATATATGTGACATGTATATTATATTCTACGACCAATCAGTGTTTTTGCTGTTATTACACTATATGCACATTGTATATACTTATCTACATATGTGTTCACCATAACGAACCACTAAGTTAGTACAGTATAGTGAGCCCAAAACAACAAGTGACTGCAACACAGCAGCCAGTAGTCTGCTGGTTGACTCCCCACCCACCTTCAACACCCACTGACCAAAATTGAAGGGAGACCATCATACCCTTATTGTGAAGGGAGACCATCATACCCTTATTGTGAAGGGAGACCATCATACCCTTATTGTGAAGGGAGACCATCATACCCTTATTGTGAAGGGAGACCATCATACCCTTATTGTGAAGGGAGACCATCATACCCTTATTGTGAATAATATAATTATTGTTTTTGTTACACTATTTACACACATTATATATATAAGTATTTACATGTTTTATTCACCATAACTGTACAACTAAGCAGGTATGATGAGTTCAGGCAGTAGGAGAGGTTGCACCCCACACGCATCTGATGGCTGCCTCCTTCACTGGTGCAAGGCCACATGTACTAATATTTCTCCTACAACAATACTGTTTGTGGTGTTATTACACTATATACACATACATCATATATAAGTATCTACATGTTTTATTGACCATAACTGTACAACTAAGCTGGTATGTCCAAAGAGCATAGTGTCAACTGCATGACAAGTCACACAGCAGGTAGCAGATGACAGCCTCACCCACTCCCTCACCAAAATGGTTCCTCCCAACAAACTCCTTTTTCTGTTATTATACTCTATACACACATTATATATAAGTATCCATATTTGTATTCACCATAGTGAACCATTAAGCTGGTATCTTGATTCCAGACAATAACATGTTGGTACATGCCAGCCAGCAGACAACGCTATCTCCCTCCCTCTCCAACAATACCCCTCCTCCCACATTGCTAATTCTCACCACAATCCTGCTATTATCAGAATCCTGGTCACTAAATCATGTAAATGAATAATTTTCCACTTTTGTTGTTGTTGTTGTTGTAATAGAACATGAGAAGTAATTTGCTAGCACTGTGAACATCTTGAACAGCATTTATTCACTGATGTCTGAGCATTGTACACAGTTTTTATCACAGTCAGGCTCTTCTGTAATACTATCATGGCTAAATAATACCAGATACCTATATATTTGGACTTTTTAGGCGATGCTGTGGTCACAAGCTGAACAGCAATGCTGTTCGCTCATGCTGCGTGCGCCAGCCTTGGTTACTCACTCAGTACTGAGGCCTTCGCACCTGGGAATGTTGCCCACTTTTTTTTTTTTTTAAATGGCGTCTGTTTACAAAAGCCCTGAGGAAGCTGATGTGAACCCCGTGTAGCTGTGGGAGTTATGAATGATATGCTTATACCTGTGAGATCCCTAAGGTGCGTTGCACACCACCAATCGAGAGCTTCAAGGCACGTTGTGCAGTGCAGTGCTTAAACAAAATTCTGAAAAAGAAAGGGCTCTAGTGGTGGTTCTAAATAGAAAACTGTCGTCTGAGGAGCCCATAAAGGCACATTGTGCGAGGAGCCAATGCAGGCTTTTCAATTTCAGAATTGCTTTTAAAAACATGGTGAAATACTAAAGAAATTGTTTATAATCTTTCTGAGACCAAAGCTGGAATATGCAGCAGATGTATGGTGCCCATATCTTAAACATATCATCAAACTGGAAAAGGTGCAAAGACATGTAACCAAGTGGCTCCCAGAACTGAAAGACTAGAGTTACGAGGAGAGGTTAAAGACATTATATATATGCCAAAACTAGAAGATAGAAAACAAGGCAATATGATCACTGCGTACAAAACAGTAATGGGAATCAACAAAATTGGTAGAGAAGAACTCCAGAGACCTGAAACTTCAAGAACAAAAATTTTTAGACTTCAGCTAAATAAACAAAGCTGCTGAAGAAATATAAGAAAATTCTCTTTTGCAAACAGATTGGTAGACAGTTGGAGCAAGTTAAGTGATGAGGTGGTGGAGGCCAAATCTGTGAGTAGTTTCAAAGTGTTATAAAAGAAAAACTGTTGTGCTACCACTGGTAAATCTCCTTCAGAATTACTGTTCAATAGGCACTTCAAAGTGCACATGGGAGCAGTAAAGACAGATCCAGATAAATAGAAATCCTTAACTAGCTTGACCAATCAATTGGCTCAGGGAGAGGAAGTTTTGTCTAAAGAGTGGGATGCAGAATATGCAAGAAATTTTTGAATGGGTAAGCTTTGGGTAGAAAGGTAGATTGAAGTCCTATGCTGCAGGAATTTCTCCGTACAAGTGCAGAGTTTTGGGAATTTTAATTGGAACAGACATGCAGATCAACTCGTGTAAAGATTCACAGGGAATTTCGAAATCCCATCAGGTGTGGATGTGGCAACTAGTGATACCCAACCTAATAATGAAAGCATAACACCTGCAGAGGACAGGGAGGCAGAGCAAGGGGCAACAGAGGGAAATGTAGATACAGCTAACTTGATGGAATCAGATGTTATTAATTCAGAAGGTTCCTCAGAAGTAATGGGCCTAGAGCCCCAGTTGAGAAAATGAGAGTTGTGATAGACTTAACCTGTAATAGGTAGAGTTTATTTAAAAGGGAAGGAATGTTAGGATTAAGGTATGTTGTAGGTTAACGTCACTTAAGATTAAGTTCATAATGCTAAGAGACGATGCTCAGAATGCGCGAGAATGTGCAACTGAGCTGAGCATTCCTTTCCAATTAATATTCCAGACAGCCTTTTGCTTGCACAGGAATCTTAGCAGATATATGGAAAAAAGGCAAACATAGTACCAATCTATAAAGATGGTAGTCAAGAGGAACTTCTACATTATAGACCCGTATCATTAACAAGCGTGGTAGTCAAAACACTAGAAAAAATAGTTAAAGGCCAAATGGGTTGAACACCTAGAGTTCAACATAGTTTTCCTAGTTCAACACCTTTTCCTAGTCATCATTACTAGAGAGTAATGACATAATAATGGACAGACAGTATGGTTTTCGAACAGGAAGATCCTGTCCCGCCAAACACACACCGAAACTACGACGTTGGTACAACGTTCTAACAAGTTTTAACACCTCCTAACCAGTTATAACAACCAATATAGCAAGTTGTAACAACGTTCTAATAAGTCATAAACACGTTAAGCCAAGATGTAACAACTGTATAACAAGTTGTAACAAGCAGAAAATAGAGAGTTTCGGTTTGTGTTTCCAGGGGTGTGACAAATCTATTTAATTTTTATGAGAGCCACAGAAATGATGCAGGAAAGAGGTGGTTGGGTGGCCACTGTGAATCTGGACCTAAAAAAGGCTTTTGACAGAGTCCCACACAAGCAGCTGTTCTGGAAACTGGAACATGCTGGATGGGAGACAGGAAGACATCTGACATGGATAAAAAAAAATCTAACCGACAGACAGATGAGAGCAGTAATCGGAGACAATGTACTGAATGGAGGATTGTTACTAGCAGAGTACCATAGGGTTCAGTTTTTGCACCAGTAATGTTCATCATCTACATAAACAATCTACCAGAAGGAATGCAGAATTATGTGAATATGTTTATGGATGATGCTAAGATACTGGGGAAGAAGGAAGATGCAGACGATTGTCTGCATCTCCTATATCCAGCCCTTCAAATTGATCTAGGTAAAATAAATTCTTGGAGCGTAAAGTGGCAAATGGAATTCATGCCATGTTATGGAATGTGGAATCAGAGAAAATAGACCACACACAACTTACAAATCATGAGGAAAGGCATTTCAGAACTCTAATAAAGAAAGACTTAGGGGTGGTTTTGGATAATAAGCTGTTGGCAGAGGAAGACATAAAGAACAATAAGAGTGGAACATGTGTGTTGCTTTCCAACTTTTGACTTGCTTTTAATTATGTGGATGGTGAAATACTTAAACTGTTCATTACATTTGTGAGACCAAAATTGGAATATGTAGTAGTTGTATGGTGCCCAAATATCATGAAGCACATAAATAAACTGGAAAAGGTGCAACGGCACGCTACAAAACGGCATGCTACAAAACTTCTGGAACTGAAAAACAAGCGTCACGAGGAGAGACTAGAGGCGTTAAACATGCCAAAACTAGAAGATAGAAGAAAGAGGTGATATTATCACCACTTACAAAATACTAACAGGAATTGACCAAATTGACAGAAGAATTCCTGAAACCAGCAACATCACAAACAAGAGGACACAGATTCAAGCTAAGGAAAGAAAGGTGCCCAAAAAATTAGAAATTTTTCATTTGCAAACAGTGTAGTAGACGGTTGGAACAAGGTAAATGAGGTGGTGGTGGTCAAAACCGTCAGTAGTTTCAAAGCGTTATAGGATAAAGAGTACTGGGAAGATGGAACACCATGAGCATAGCTCTCATCCTGTAACTACACTTAGTAATTACTATCTTGTGTTCATTATATCTGACTGTAAACATTAGTGCTATGTAATCTTTACACCACCATGTTCATGTTCTGAGATATGCAGGTCTTGGTAATACCTTTTTTGTTCATCCTTATATGCAATTAAAACATCTAATTTTAGTAAAAACTTCATATAACTTGCATGCATTGCTGCCTTATGTACAGACTTTACGGGATATGGATTTCCACAGATCATTAATTATTTTTTAGCATACTGTCTTACTGTATGTGGGAGGGGGGGGGGGTTTGTGTTTGTGAAAGTCAAAGCTTACACTCATTGTACATGTGTAGAGAAACTACTTAACTATTAAAATTATTTATTTTATTGATGGCATTTTCAATCATGCTTCGGAGGGCTGAAATGTTTTGAACTCATTTTGGTATTTATTTTACAGTTATTCTTAGAAAATGTACCAAAAGTTAAATAATGTATAGAATTCCTTAATGTGGTTTTCTTTTCCAGATAAAGAGTCCACAGTCGGCAAAGGCTAAAGCTCTAGCTAAATCAGCCTCGGGATCGAAGAGCATTACTTCTTTCTTTACTAAGAAGTGAGTGCAATGGAATTATTACTAGGGATATGTTTCTTAAACCTTAGCATTCATTGTTAAATCATTAAAATATTTTTCTATTTTGTAAGCATTTTATTTGTATCATGGTATGTAATGTAGGTTATTCTCATAGAAGTCCATATACGCCTCCAAGGTGGTGCTTATTTTACTCATATTCTCACCCTATACTGTTTACCCTGGTCAAGGCTGCCTTTCCCTCTAATCCAGTTTACCCTAATTTTATCTTCATCACACCCATCATGGCTGTTGCCATATGTTCACTGTTTCTATCTTGGATATCTATTCCTATATCCATATTGAAAGTATGCCTTTCAACTAAAAATTGCTGTTTTAATTTCAGCTGTTGCTTGCAAATTCGTAAGTCAAATTTGTCACACATTAAAACAGTCATCATTGTGTCACTATTCGCATGTTAAATTCTCATTTATACAGCTCTAATCTTAATACTCATTCTAGGTTATTGACTTGAGCCTTCTTTACTATACAACCAATATGGATACTAATCAACCATGTAGACATTACATGAAGTACATTATATAGGCTACTGTATTTTTTTTATTTTCCAAATAAAGATCTAGACTATTCTCCTCATTTTCCCACACATCCACTTCCATGAAGAAACTTCACTGTTTAAGACTCCCACACTTATAGTAGGTGCTCCAAACATTATACAACTCCCTCCTTTTTTCCTGATTTATTACTCTAGAAAGTGATCAACATAACCTTGTCCTTTGAAATTTTGAAATATCACATCACTTAATGCACAGTATTCTTAATTAACTACTTCTACACTTGAAATTGAATTTTGTATTAACAGGTTTCCAATTTGTATAGTGGGGCAATTGCTGCTTCATCCACTCCTTTTGTACACTGCCATACCAATAAATGTACTGTATTAATATAAATGTCTTCAGTACCATTACATTTTAACTGATTTAGATCACTTTATGCAAACTTGCAAATGACAGCCTATTGCATCTTAAAATTGACATAATATGCACGATGGATAATTTAATTTGTAATATTCTTATGTTATGCTGTGAAAATGGTGAAATGGTACAGTAAATGTAAATCATTAATTCATATGTAACTAACATTGTGGTGACAGTCATGAAAGAAATTTATGATGCAATTTAAAGTCACACCTAAAATTATAACTGCTAAAAACTAATTTATGTTCAAGACTTGTGTAGGATTTTGTTTTTTATATAATAGTTTGTTAGATATGCTGTATACAGGGATAGCATGCATTGTTGCCCAGGCTTAACTAAATGAAATTTGCATGTACAGTGCAAATGTACAGTATTTACATGTTAAAGTGCATGTACAGTATTTGTGTTTTTGTTTTTCGTTTGTTTGTCATATCCAGTTTTTTCTGAGTCATAATACAAATTTAGCTGGGAATATGATTCTGCAACTGTATATTTTTGCTTTCTTTCACATTCATTATCATGCACAGTCTTATGCCTAATAATTCTCATAATCTTGTATTCAACTTGTCTACCACTTGTATTCTTCTCTACAACTTGTATTCACAACTTGTATTCACTAAAAGTTGAAAATTAGAGAAGTGCTGATATACTTTACCTGTTAGATACTGACAAAATTCTATAGTATTTTATTCAGACATTTTGGGACCGAGACCAGCCTAAAGTTTGTCTAGCAGCAAAACCTCACATCCTTCACTATTAATTAAAGAAAAAATAAATTTACAACCCCTCCATTCCATCATCCTCCCTCCCTTCCACCTTCCTTCCATTGTCCTCCACCCCTCCCTCCCTCCCTCCCACCTTTAATCTCTTTGGTATTATACTGTACACTTAATACCCTGGCAGCAGTTCTGAAAGCTGGCAAGACATCTTGCATTGTTTACACACTTATCAATATTGTTCATTGCCTTTTGGAATTTCTTTGCATTGTCCTGGATCAGCCATGATAATGCTGGCTATTTATTCTCCATAACATTAGGTTTGTGGCGCACTTTCACTGCAGCATTAACTGACCTTACTTTAAATTAATTGTCTTTTTCCCTGTCTTGTTCATGTCTTGTTCTTCATGTTTTGAGCAAAATATTCAGTGAGCTTATCAATAGCCTTCATAATATAGAACAAGTTCCCTTGCTTTTATAGTATACCTCGTACACAATGCACTTAGGAATGACTCTGGACCTGAATTATTTCTACTTACCAGAGCGAAAGCATCTCGCTTATTTTCTGTTCACTATGCAACTAGTAAATATGTCACAATACAGTACATACCTTAATTATTAGCTAAAACATTGAAAGAATGTTTTGTTTGTTTTTCATCAATAAATCCAGGGAAGCAAGAGAATAGGTTCTTTCTAGGCTTGTCACATGTGAAAAACAATACTAGGACCCAACAGAACCATATTGTGTGGTTCTTGATTATTTACCTTTTTTTTTTTTTTTTTTCTTTGGAGAGTCCCTCCGGCTCCCCGAGCTATACTGGGTTGATATGTATATATTTGACTGTGGCAACAGTCAGTCGATGGGGTTCTTAGCTTACCAGGGACCACGAGCCAGAACTTGGCCTCCTTAGAGAGACATCAGGAGCAATAGCCTATAGACACCCCCATGTAGTGGGACACATTCTGTCTGCTATCTACCAGGTCAGGCACCCAGAAAGGTAGGAATCCCAAAACAAACTACAACTGGTTAAAAATTGCAAACCAAAAGCCAAATGACTCCCCAATCAGAAAAAAGCAAACAAGCATGACATCACCTCAGCTGCTGTGCCACTGTCTGTGCAGCTCCCCCCCCCCCCCCTCTCTGGGAGGATCCAGACCTCCACTCCGGCTACCCAACCCCAGTACTGAGGCTCTTGTGTTGGGTGGCGGTCAATCGACTCTGGCTCCAATCATTGAGCAGTGTTGTGCCTTGCGGTGTTGTGCTACAGTGGTGGTGGTGTGCGAGACAGGTGTAATTCCAGAAGTATTGGGGCTGCATGTGCCTAGGGTTACCTTCCCTAGGTGTCCTATAAGTACTGCCCTTACAGTTTAGGATTACCTTCTACAAACTATTCAGGGATTACCTCTGCAGGGTTCTTTTGCTGCTTGGTGACTGCACGCCCTTGGGGTCAGTTGGGGTTTTTTCCCTACCACTGTTTGGTCTTTGGTAGGAGGTAATATCATCGCTGGCTGGGGCGCAAAGTACTATGCAGCTGCCTTAATACACACAGCAGCCGTTTCTGTTCCTCCTGGAGAGGTGCGCTTTTGCGGGATGTTTCTTTTCTTTTGTTTTCCCTGGTGGGGGTTTGCCTGGTGTGGCTGTAGTACCACTTGTATTATTTTGGTGGCCCTCTGCTTGGCTCCTGTGGTTGTACACATCGCAGGGGTTCAGTTTTTTGTTTGGTAGCTCTGGGATAACCGGTTAGCAGTACCTTGCATGGGCTTCCCATAGCAGTCGGCCCAAGGGCCCTGGAAACCCCCATTAGGGCTCATTAGTCCGATGGATGTGTCCTCTGAGTCCCATCTCGCTTCATGCTAGTTTGAAGGTTGCACTGTTACCTTGTCTCAGGGTGACACTGCTTTTTTGCCTCCACCATGATGTCTGTTGGGTCAATGGCACCTTTGACCTGGAGTCCTGTGAGTGGTGTTTCTTGCTTGTACTCCAGTTTACACAGTCCACTGCTATTGATATTTGGGTGCAGACAGCTTCAGCATTGTATGAGAGGTTTAGGTTGGTTGCCTTTCTGGATGCCCCGCTTTGGGTATAGGGACCCGGACTTGGGGGCGTTAGTCGCTTCGACTTTGGTTTCGTCCTCGCCCCCTTGTCCTTTCCCTGTTGTGGTTCATCATGCCCTTTCCCCCTCCCCCCTCACTCCCAGCTCCCAAACTTCTGAGGGTTTCAGAGTCGGGGAAAGGCAGACCTCCCGTGTCAGCTACCCAACCCCAGTTCAGAGGCTGAATATCACAACACTAAAAAACAACAGACTGGAGGGACGGAGAGATGCCAGGGAACCTCTGGGTCTCGCCCAGAAATGGCGTTTCATTACATTCAACGCTGGTTTTCTGTGGAGCGCCCCTCTGGCTTCCCTCAGCTGCCTAACCAAAGATAAAGGAAAAGAGCGACTTCCCTGGGAGGCGGGCATCACTCGCTCCTCGGCTCCAAGTTGAGATAACTGACTGCAACCTGCGATCCAAGACTACACATGCTCGAGAAGGGCCCAGAACATTAACGAGGTACCGTGCAGCCAGGACCTTGTTCGATCTCCAAAAGCCCCGTGCCCGAATGTCAACCCAGGATGTATTATCAAAAATAGCAGCCAAAGTCACAAACTTACGAATGTCGTGGGCATGGGGATAAACAGCAGGCTGGCTGGACCGAATAATTCTGCGAACAACCTGGGAAGACATGTGCCCTTGAACAGGGAAGAAGGGAAACCAGACCAACCCAAATCGAGTCCCCTGCCACGGAGGCTGTAGTGCGCAAGTAACAACGAATAGGTCTGATGGCCCCCTGGTAGATGGCAGACAGACTGCTTCCGATTACATGGGGGTGTTTATAGGTCATTGCTCCTGGTGATTCTCCTGGTATCAGGTGATTCAGGTATCCTCCAAAGGATACCTGATCAACCAGGCTGTGACTCATACGTCAGGCTGCGAGCAGCCGCGTCCAACAGCCTGGTTGATCAGTCCAGCAACCAGGAGGCCTGGTCAAAGATTGGGCCGCGGGGACGCTAAGCCCCGGAAGCACCTCAAGGTAGGAGGGGGCCAGGTTCTGTCTCATGGTCTTCGGTAGGCTAAGAACTGTTGACAGAACATTTGACTATTGACACGATCTAATATATACACATCAGCCCGGTATAGCTCCAGGAAGCCTGGGAAGCGGATCTCGCCCAGAAAATGGCGTTTCATTACATTTAACGCGGGTTTTTTTTTCCCACAATTGATGATTGCACCTAGTCACCAAACATAGTGTCAAGTTTTTCCCACAGTTTCTTCTTGTTTTTTCTATGTACAGTATATACTTCTCATAAGTTTTGGATTGCATAGCATTTATTGGTGCTTATATATTAGCTTCAAAATATAAATTCAAAATCTATCCTTTGTCATTGTTCAGTGCTTTCGTGTAAACTATTGTGCATTATTTGAAACTCAGTGTAACATTCTCGCTTCTTCAGTGTTTTAGACATTTGTGATTTGTCTTTCATCTGATTAGCATTATTCCTAATTTTGCCAGTAATCAATTTGTGGTGCACACTTCCCATTATCTGTGCCTGTGCTCAGCATTACATGCATTTATTTCTGTGCAAATAAATACTGAACTTCTTATCGGTTCCCTATCCATCTTAATGATATAATTTTTAACACTTTCGCGGCCTAGTGTCGATCGCTCGACCTGTCAAAGAGGTTTTGGGCATTCCACGGGAGCACGCGATAATACTGAGCAGTGTATACTCTTTTCAACTTTGTCACCTTAATTCTTGTCCTGGGATTTTCAATTTTGTATCAATGTGTTCGCAATAGAATGTTCTACAGGACTAAAAGCATATACACTCCAAAAGCCCGGCTTACGACCCGCAGCAAACGGTGAAAGTGAGAGAAAATTACCCGGGAGCGCACAAGAGCGATAAAATGTGTACACTCTTTTCACTTTGGTCACCTCAATTTTCGTCTTAGGTCTTTCATTTTGGTATCAATGTGTTCACAATAAAATTCCCAACAGGAGTATATGCATATAATGTCAAAAACCATGGCGAGCTCCACCCGCTGACGTGATTAAAGCAGGTGATGAGAGCAGGGAGGAGCACCAGGCCTTCCATTAGAGAGTGCGGTAATACTGAAAAGTGTATACTCTTTTCAACTTTGTCATCTCAATTCTCATCCTAGGTTTTACAATTTGATATCAATGTGTTCGCAATAGAATTCTCTACACAATTAAATGCATATGAATTCTGAAAACCCGGCGTACCACCCACACAAAACGGAGAAAGTGAGGGAAAGTTACCCGGGAGCGCTAAAGAGCAATGAAATGTATACACTCTTTTCACTTTGGTCTTTCATTTTTGTATCATTGTGTTCGCAATAGAATTCCCTACAGGAGCATATGCATATATAAAGTCCAAAAGTCCAGTATACCACCCACAGCAAACAGAGAAAGTGACAGCGCATTACCTCCATGAGTGCTCATCAAGAGCAATAAAATGGATTTTCTCTAACTTTGTTACCTCAATTCTCATCCTAGGTCTTTCATTTTGGTATCAATGTATTCGCAATGAAATTCCCTACAGGAGTATATGCATATAATGTCCAAAACCGCTGTGCTCCTCTCTCGCATCCAAGCCGAAAGCTGGCTAAATTTTTTTAATTTTTGATGCCATACTTCGTCATCAGTGGAAATAAGATACTAAAATTTTGACTCCATACTTTGTCATTGGTGGCCGAAAGTGTTAAGTACCTTTTATACTTTTATATGTAGCAAGAGCCTTTTATACTTCCTTATTCTTTTACTGTTATTTTTGACATTTTTGCTCTGTACAGGTATTTTGAGTCAGTTTTTTATCCTCGGTTCTTAGTTTGCATCTTCATCCAACTATACTGTTTCTCTGACTTGTTCATGGCATTGTGAAGTTTCTACCAGTGCTACCAAAATTTCAACACACAATTTCCATTTCTATGTTCTATGTATCAATATACAGTTACTTAAAACATTTACTGGTATACTGTACCATATTCTTGTATATGCTTCCAGATATTTGACACAGGCAGCTTCACCTGTACTTGGCTCTCTCCTTCACTGCATTACCCAGATACTTTAAGCTTATTAATTTGTCATTATTTATTTATTAAAGAAGTATTTACAAAATTTGCTTAGGCTATGTCCATGCATGAAATGTAAATATGTGAGTAATTAATATTTTCATTTTAAATAACTAATACATGTGTATAAAATTATGTATTTAGTCTTCAAATCTATTGTTTAGGTTTATATACCACTAACAAAATGTCAAAGACTGAAGACTAAATACAATTTGCCAGGTTTTCTATCAAACTTGAGTATTATTTGAATTAGCATTTATATGGTATTACAGTATTTTGTTTCAATAAATTCCAGTGTCTTAAACGGTAATATATGGTTGATTTGCAGCAAACTTGTGTTCACTTTGATTATCCTTCTTATCCAGGATCTTCCAGATTGAAAACCATACTGTCTGTCTGATATTATATAATTTCTCTCCAGGTGTTCTACCCATTTGGATTTAATTATTTTTTCCAATATTTTGACTATTACACTTGTCAATGATACCGGTCTATAATTAAGGGGGTCTTCCCTGCTTCCACTTTTGTAGATTGGAACTGTGTTAGCCTTTTTCCACACATCAGCTACAACTCCTGTAAACAGGGATGCTTGAAAAATCAGTTGAAGAGGAATGCTGAGCTCAGGTGCACATTCTCTCAGAACCCATGGTGAACTTCATCTGGACCAACTGCTTTGTTCTTATTTAGCTCCTTGAGCATTTTTTCCACTTCGTCTCTAGACACCTCTATGTGCTCTATGTTGTTCTCTGGAATTCTTATTGTATCTGGTTCCCTGAAGATTTCATTTTGTACAAACACACTTTGGAACTTTTTGTTTAATGTTTCACACATTTCCTTTTCATTTTCCGTGAATCTATTTCCCATTTTCAACCTCTGAATATTATCCTTTACCTGCAATTTGTTGTTTATGAATTTATAGAATAGACCTGGTTCTGTTTTACATTTGTCTGCAATCCCTTTTTCAAAATTTCTTTCTGCCTCTCTCCTCACTGCCGTGTAGTTGTTTCTCGCATCTTTGTATCGCTGGTATGTTTAGGGGTTTGGCCTCTTCCTGTATTGATTCCATTTTTGTGTCTTTTGGTCTCTGGCCCTCTCGCACTTTCTGTTAAACCAATCCTGTTTCCTAGTTCTGCTTCTGTTTTGGTATAAAATTGTTTGTGCCTTTATCATATATTTCACAAAACTTGACATACATCTCATTCACTTCCTTGCCTAGCAACAAGTCTATCCAATTATACTCACTAAAAAAATTTCTAAGGTTGCCATAATGTCCTCTCCTAAAGTCAAGTTTTTCAATTGCATCAACCGTCATATTTTCTTCCAGATTATAATGCATTGCATACTTTATTCCCAAAAAGACATGGTCACTTTTACCCAAGGGAGGAAGGTACTGAATGTCAAATATTTCTTCCTCCTTCCTGGTAAATATCAAATCTAGCATGGAGGGAACGTTCCCTTCCCTCATCCTCGTAGCTTGTTTAACATGTTGATACAAGAATGTTTCCAGGATGAGGTCTACAAATTTACAGGTCCAAAAATCTTCTGTTTTAGCTTAATATGCTTCCCAGTCTATGGATTTCAAGTTGAAGTCGCCGACTATCAACAGTCGTAAAATATCGTTTCCCGCTCTCGCTATGATCTCTCTCATTATTGTTATAAGACCTTCTCGTTTACTATCTAGCTCCTCCTTTGACCATGTGCTACTTAGCGATGAACTATATGCATTTATGATCATTAGTTTATCATCCTCATGGCAGATCTCTAGTACTATTATGTCAACTTTTTGTGGATTGGCAGTCATTATTTTGTTCATCTTTAGGTGTTCTTTCACCAGCACAGCAACGCCACCGCCTTTCCTGATTTTTCTGTCCCGTCTCCAAATTGAGTAGCCCCTTGGGAATATGACCTCATTTAAAATAGCATCTTCAAGTTTTGTCTCCGTGAGTGCAACAATGTCTGGTGTCTGCAGCTGTATTATATCACTTAACTCCAGTATCTTTGATCTTACTCCATCTATGTTGGTGTATGCAATACCTTGTGCTTGACAAGGTATGGGCTCCATGCTGGGGCTACATACTCCAGCATTAGTCTTACATATGTGGTATACAAGGTTCTGAAAGATTCCTTACACAGGTTTCTGAAGGCAGTTCTGATGTTAGCCAGCCTCACAAACGCTGCCGATGTTATGCTTTTGATTTGGGCTTCAAGAGACAGGTTAGGTGTGATATCAACTCCTAGATCTTTCTCTCTGTCCGTTTCGTGAAGGACTTCATCTCCCATTTGGTATCCAGTGTCTGGCCTATTTCTTCTGCCTAGTTTCATTACCTTACATTTCCTTGGGTTGAACTTTAGTAGCCATTTGTTGGACCATTCCTGCAGTTTGTCTAAGTCATCTTGTAGCCTTATACTATCTTTTGTATAATTATACTATCTTTCTGTCAAAGCCTTTGACAGAAAGGCTTTCTGGCAATCCAAAAATACTGTCAAAGGCTTTCTGGCAATCCAAAAATATGCAGTCTGCCCAGCCCCCTCTATCTTGCCTGATTTGTGTTGCCCGGTCATAGAATTCAATTAATCCTGTGCGGCATGATTTGCCATCCCTTAACCCATGCTGATGCTGTGTTACAAAGTTCTTTCGCTCCAGATGTTCCACTAGTTTTTTCGCACAATCTTCTCCGTCATCTTGTATGGTATGCAAGTTAGGGACACTGGCCTGTAGTTCAGTGCCTCCTGCCTATCATCCCTTGTATATCGGGCCTACATTGCCCATCTTCCAAATTTTTGGCAGTTCATCTGTTACTAGTGATTTGTTGTACACCATGGATAGTGGCAGGCACAGAGCTTCTGCTCCTTCCTTTAGTAGCCATGGTGAGATTCCATCCGGGCCTATAGCCTGTTACACCCAAAATTAGCAGATGCTTCTTCACCTCCCCACTGGTAATCACAAACTCCTCTAGTGGTGTCTGGTTAGATATTTCCTCTCTTATTTCTGAGATTTCTTGCTCTACTGTGAAGACTTCTTGGAATTTATAATCAAGTTTTTTTGCACACTTTCTTGTCGTTTGTAGTGAATCTGTCTGCCCCTATCCTCGGTTTCATTACCTGTTCCTTCCCTGTTGTTTTCCTCCTGATGTGGCTGTGCAGCAATTTAGGTTGAGTCTTTGCCTTACTTGTTATGTCATTTTCATATTGTCGCTTTGCGCCTCTCCTCACCCTGACCTGACGTATTAATTCCTGGCACTCTGGTATTTTTCTCTGCTCTGTAGTGTCCTATTATTTCTATAGTTTCTCCATGCCCATTGACTTAGTTGCTTTACTGTGTGTATCACAGTGCTTTGTGTGTAACATCTGTCTCACTAATTACACAATATCGCTTGCACAAAATTCTGGCATCCCAGGGTGTGTGTGGTGTTACTGCACATCCCTTTTGCCTGCACTAAATAGCCACATGTGAGGTGAATCCATCACCACAGCAGAGTTGACATTTTCATCAGATTCATTGTGCCTCGTTAATGAGGTGTAGGATTGAGTAATGAGGCCTGGCTATACATAAAAGTGAAAGCTTTTAATACTTATGTTGTTACCTAGTGATCAATTCCTAGCAATTGACGGTCTAGCTAAGTTAGATTTCATCAGCGTCTGTTACGGACGTATGTATGTTATCCAAGGTAACGTGTTTGCCTTGTCTCACCGACATCCTGTGTGGTGATATCGCAAGAATTGTTTAATCATAGGATGACACATTTAGGGTCATTTGTGATTGCAGTGTTCAGTAATATATTGGATGTGTGTTAAGTAATTATTTCACATTGGACTGTGTGACTCGATTTAAACTTAAGTATTTAATTTACTGGCTCATGGTAGACTAAGTATTTTATGCATACTAAGTTCATATTGTGTTAAGAGCATTCTTTAATGTTATGTTTAAAAGTGACGCCTCAACTTCTGGGAGAGGTATGCAAAATACAGTACTTGTATATTAGCAGAAAGGAAATGAAACAAAAGATTGTGAAAGGTGTTTTACTTTGTACTGTAGACAATATTCAAAAGACACCAGTCTAAGTCCTAAAATCATGCTCCCCAATAATGACACTTAAGAGGGAGAACTTTGCAACTTTCTAATTCTATAAAATGTATACAAAATTATGTGACTGATGTTAAATAATTCCCAGTTCTGTGAGCATATTGGACTATAAAATTAATATTTTATTTAGATTATAAAAGTGAAACAAATTAATATAAAATCTTAACCCAGACCCATACTCAAATTTAATATTTTTAAAGTATCGCACACTGTACACACACACCTATCGTCTAAATGTACACAACAATACTAGTGCTAGGTAACAACACTCCATGCATTTACTAGTTATCACATAATACAACATATTTTACTCCATGTAATTTTGTAGTATCAGATAATCATTGGTACTGGTGCAAGTGCACTAGAAATTTGATGGATGCAATACACAAAGAGCAACAAGCATTTGCTATTTCTAATTATATTGTTGCTAGTTTGTACTTAGGATTTAATATTCTCAATACTTTTTTCATCAATACAGACAATACTTACCTTACAGTATTAATATACCATTAATAACAATATCGAATTTAAATGTTGCCCTATGCATATTTAATCTTGACCTTCAGCAGTATGAATGCAAGATTTTAGTCCTATCTAGTAAGATGCATGCAGAGTTAATTTCATATTATTAATGCAGCTGAAGTTTATTTGCAAGAAATATTGTTTTAGATTTTCAGTAGGCAAAATATATTTCATTCTTAAAACAATTATCATACTATGTTTATTTTTCACGGCTTGAAATAAGTATAGCACTAAGGCAAAGCATTGCCTGTTCAGTTGAAGAACTAAGAGGTCCACTGTTGTTTAAAGTTGCTGGGTCCCCTGAGGGTCCCCTGATTAAATTTGATGCCTGCAAAAACAATTATGAAAATAGCATAGTATATAGAAACCTTTACTAAACACAATGGCATACAACATTTTGAATGACCAGCCCAATGGTCATCTGCAAACAATGCAAAAGCTTTTTTTTTTCTCTCCATTTAATTAACTGAAGAATATGCACCTGCCATTCTGGAGAATAAAAATTTTATGAAATTAAATAGACATTGTGTGAATAATGGCTGTAGCATCATAAGTCAAAACCATTTTTACAGATATTAAGTTACATGTGGATCTTATTACTTATATTACTCAAAGTCTATATTCTTTAAGAATTACAATAGGTATTGATAACCATATGAAAGTAGATATGCCATTATAAAGACATGGCATCACAAGTGAAATAAGTCCTAAAGTATGTCATTAATTATGTTTGTAATTCACTGAAGCCACAATATTGTAACACTGACAATGTAATATTTGTCATAAAGGTGCTGTGACAATTTATTCAGGTACAACAAATATGGCTTTGTGATAACTGTGCATAGTATTTCACTCTCCAGCCATATACAACCAATTAATCATACAAGTATTTCCACGGGAAACAATACATAAAATATTCTCACAAACCTCATAACTTAATAATGTATACTTAGCACTTAGGATTCCAGTGCTTTGGTTGCTGGTAAGGGAAAGATTATACAGCAGATATCAGTCACAGCCTCACAAGAAACCTTGTGGGCTTGTTTTGTCATTGGTTCACTTGTAGTGTTTGTTTACTCCCAGTTATAGGGGGGGGCCCTTGGAAAGGCTCATTAAGAGGGACACGCCCTCATCCATTTCTTCCGGGGTCTCTTCAAGCATCCTGGCTAACTCGGCATCATTCAGTTGTACACCATGAGCATTTCCTGTTTATAAAGAAAAATGTGAAAAACTGAAGTGTCAAAATTTGTGGCTTCAGTAGCTTTCACCTCACTTAAATGGGAAAAGTGTACTTCACTTAAGTGTTCATAATTATAACTACTGCATCCATGAATTTATACATTAATATAATAGTTGACCAATATATTACAAAGTTGTACACTGACCACTATAAAGTCATTTTTCAGCATAGTCACACAAACCTGCATGAGCAACAAAAAGGTCCTTAAGTATCCCTAATTCTTTAGTAAGGATCTTTATGTTTTCCTCAAGTTCTTCATTCTCATTCCTTAGTTGAGTGACTCTATCTACCATTTGCTGGGTCTTCATTTTTGTTTTCATTCGTGACTTTTTTACCGCCTGGTTGTTACGCTCACGACGCCTGAAAGTACATTTTAATCAGTGACAGTACAGGTATTGTAAAAGGGCAGCTGCGTTAAGCTCAACAAGCCACAATATAGGACAATGCTTTTTCACCCATAGGGTAATAAACCCATGGGATTGCCTATCCACTGAAGACAAATGCTAAGACAGGATTCTAGTACAAAATCCAACTGGAAAAAATCCTCAGGTTACTACTAAAAAAGCAAACATGTATTGGGAGAAGTTTTGTTTTATAATCTTTAGTATCTTCTTAAGGGATACCTTATTTAACACTTTCGCATTCCAATGATGCTAAAATGCATCATTGGTACTGTTACGTAATTCCTCTGCATAGCAGTGGAAAGTTGCCTCTTCCTATTGCCCTCAACACCTTCATGCTACACTACCTCCTCTACGACAAAACCAGACAGCCACCTCCAGTCAGATGTCTGGAGAGCTCCACCACGGACCCACTACCTTGCCCTGAGAGCACATGCCAGGTGTGCACCGGTGACCAGTTCAGCATTCACTAACTACCCATTACTTTGCCGGGCTCATCATTACACCTCACACCTTGCCGCCAGCTGTGACGTCATCACCCGCAGGCATGTATATAAGCTCCTGTCTGTGACCCTGCCAGCAGATTACTCCTGGTGCTCTCTCGGGTTCTACACATCTCCTTCACTCGATGTGGTCCTGCTACGACGCATGATGGTGAACGTGTGGCCTAGTGTATATAGTGTAGTCACCCTTATTTTTTCTTATTGTAGAGTAAAGATTTAGTTTATTTTCATGTGTCTCAGCCAAGTTTGGCTCAGGAATTCTTTTGTTATGATTGCTGTTATAAGTGTTTAATTGTTTATACTGTACTGTAATATTTGCTTATTCCTGCAGTTTCACACCACAAAGGTCTTTAGCAGTTTTTTTTTTTTTACTTTGTTTTATTTTTTATTTAACCCTTAACGCTGCTAAGGGATCCTGGGGACTTTTACTCCCCTGTGCGCAAGAAAAATTTTTAAAAAAATTTGTTTTCTAAAAATGTTCATTTGTGTTCCCTAAGCACGGGAAAAAACAAAATCATAGGTGACATATTTTGGCCGAGGAAGTCTGGCAAAATGAAGGCGTTGACAGAGCAAGCGTCAGAGGTGGTCAGCTCCGCCACAGCTGTCAATCGGGAGTTACCACAAAGATATTATTACCTAATTATTTCAATGTCTGATTTTTTCCCTGTATTTTTTTTTTTTTTTTTTTTTTTTTTGCAGTAATATTATTCAATAGTATGTAGTGTGATATGCTGTATTTATATAATAAAAGGGCTGAATCATTGCTATACTCAAAATTATGGTGGGCTCCCCCAACATACTCCTTTTGCTGTTATTACACTAATAAACACGTTGAAGCACATCAACAAACTGGAAAAGGTGCAAAGACATGCCACTAAGTGACTCCCAGAACTGAAGAATAATAGCTACGAGGAGAGGTTAGAGGCATTAAATATGCCAATACTAGAATATAGATGAAAAAGAGGCGATATGATCACTATGTACAAAATAGTAACAAGAATTAATAAAATTGATAGGGAAGAATTCCTGAGACCTGGAACTTCAAGAACAAACGGTCATAGATTTAAACTAACTAAACAAAGATGCCAAAGAAATATAAGAAAATTCACTTTTGCAAACAGCAAACAGAGTGGTAGACGGTTATAATAAGTTAAGTGAGAAGGTGGTGGAGGCCAAGACCGTCAGTAGTTTCAAAGCGTTATATGACAAAGAGTGCTGGGAAGACAGAACACCACGAGCGTAGCTTTCATCCTGTAACTACACTTAGGTAATTACAAACACCTCTCTTCTCCGACTCACCCTCTTCCATATGCCAACAAGAGTTCTCATTCAAGGTAAGATACACATACTGTATTGTAGTTAGTACAAAATGAGTGTTATTCGGTACCAAATGTATTTTTAAGTTAATATTTTTGGGGGTGTGGAACGGATTAATTCAATTTACATTATTTCTTATGGGAAAATTAAATTTGGTTGATGACACATCTCTGGGAACGGATTACGATCGTAAACAAAGGTACCACTGCATCTGACTGGAGGAATGTTACTACCGGAGTACCACAGGGTTCAGTTCTTGTGCTAGTAATGTTTATCATCTACATAAATGATCTAATAGAAGGTATACATACTTATATGAACATGTTTACTGTTGATACTAAGCTACTAGGAAAGGTAGGAAACCTAGATGATTGTCATGCCTTTCAAATGGACCAAGATATATAATTGCTTCAAGCACCATGTGGCAAATGGAATTCATTGTGAATAAATGCCATGTTATGATACATGGAATAGGAGAAAACAGACCACACACAACCTACAAATTATGTGGAAAGGACTTAAAGAACTCTAACAAAGAAAGAGATCTAAGGGTGGTTCTGAATGTCACCAAAGTAACATAAAGGACATTGTGTGAGGAGCATATGCTGCAATTTCCAAATTCAGAATCATTTTTAATCACTTTGATGGTGAAATACTAAAGAAACTGTTCATGACTTATAGGAAACCAAAATTGAAATATGCAACAGTTGTATGGTGTCCATATCTCACGAAGCACATCAGTAAACTGGAAAAAATGCGAAGGTATGCTACAAAATGGCACCAGAACTGAAAAACAATTATGAAGAAAGGCTCAAGGCATTAACCCCCAAGCTGCTAAGGGCTATTTCGCCTTAGTTGCCCACAGGCACATAAAAAAAAAAAATAAAAAAATTTTCTTTTATAAACCTGTTAATTTGTGTTCCCAGATCACGGGAAAAAATGATAAAAAAAATTGTAAGTGGCATATTTTTGCCGCAATAGGGCCAGGAAGTCTGGCAAAAAAGAGGCACTGACTCAGCAAACGTTCAAGGCGGTCACCTCTGCTCCAACTGTCAGACGGGAGTTGCCACAAAGATATAATTACCTAATTATTTCAATGTCTGATTTTTTCTTCATTATTTTGCTGTAATATTATTCAATAGTATGTACTATGATATATTTATATAATAAAATGTGTGAATCATCGCTGTACTCAAAATTATGGTGTGCATATTATTGATTCAATTATTGTGTTCGTAAAACAATAAACAAATACTTTGTCAGTTATTACACTATATACATAGGTTATATAAGTATCTGCATGTTTTGTTCACCATAACGAACCACTAAGTTGATACTGCGAGTCAAAAAGCAACGAGGAGTGGCCAGCCAGCCTCTCACTGCCCCTTCCTCCTTCCTTCAATGACTCCTCACTCGCCCACATCCTCCTCCCATAATACTGCCTTTGCTTTTATTCACTATATTTTTTATTCACAGATGTTATAATTAAGTATTTGCATGTTCTGTTCACCATAACTGTTCATCTTAGCTGGTATAGTGCACAAAGAGCATAGTGGCCACCCTTACACAGCATGACAAGTCAGGAAGATGATGCCACCTCCCTCACCAAAATGTGGAACAAGTGAGAAAGTAATGGAGGTCAAAATGCACAGTAGTTTCAAAGCATTATATGACAGAGTCCTAGTAAGATGGGACACCACGAGCATAGCTCTCGTCCTGTAACTACACTTAGATAATTACTCTAAGTAAATAATATGCTGTATTTTTTATATTATATGTTCCAAAAATATTGGTTTTGTGATTATTTTTCATTGTCTGGGATTGGAATGTATCCCCCATTTATAGTTTTGTACCAATGGGATATCTCATTCTATGTTCTAAACAAATTCTTTATGAACACCATTTCAGAACATAACCCACTTATAGCTGGGGACTCCCTGTACTGGTCATTTTTCTACAAAGTAGAAAGTACGCACTAAGTACTTAGTACAGTATTGTGGGAGGTAATCATTCCTACTAAGTAATCATTGTAATCTGATCTTTTGTATATCTTATAATAATAATAATAATAATAATATTTTATATATTATTATTTTTATGGACATAAATTCCTCAGTATTCTATGTACTGTATTCTACTTTACTTACAAATAACAAAAATTAACATTTAACAATTATGTGGTTATACTGATTAACTCTTGTAATCCATTCTTCTCAAATATAAAATTAAACAAGACTAAATAAAATAATATCTGACCAATGAAGTTGTCAAAAAATTGGATGCCGAATGCTGCAGAGCCAAAAGATGTACTGACCTCCGGTATTCCTCAGTATTCTTGACTGGCCGGCGAGAGCTGGAATTCCCACCGGAAGAGTCATCTCCACTTTCATTTATTCCTTCCATTTTTGGTGCCATCACTACTATGACCAGGCAAAAGTATTAGAAGTTTAGGTGCTTATATATGATAAATATCAAAAGCAAATAAGTATTGTGTTTACAAACTTTTCAAACCGCAAGAGGTATTAATAGTCAAGTAGATTCATGGAAGCAAGGCTAAGAAGACTTGTTCTTCAAAAATTGGTTTCTTGCTTCATACTAATTATGAACAAAATTGTCCTTAAAATACAGTATTTAGGAGGATGTGAAGCGCTGAAGCTGGCCCAATTTACATTTTGTGAAATATTCATATTTGAATTTAAATACTGAACTACATAAAGGAAAATGTAACTTACTGCAGCTTTGTTTAACATGAAGAAAATACGTTTAGCAAAAGAGTTCAATACGGTACTGTAATTGGTAATGATAAGGGCTGGCTCCTGCTCTATATTAATTATATAAAATAATCTAAAACCATTGATCTTTTGGCTTTGAAAATATATGCAGAGGAAAATATGCAATATCATAAACAAAATATAGCATTGAATGCAATGAAACATCTCTTTCTAGTGGGTTTCTTCAGTGGTTTCCCGAGCTACCCACCTGTTTAGCTTCAAGCTTAAAGCATGCAAGCAGTCCCTTTGAGTCACAAGTACTTACTGGGAATGAACCAGGACCAGAGTCTGGGTCCCCATCAATAGAGTAGACCAGAAATACAAGATCAACCCAGGTTGAAAAGAAAAACCACCAGAAAAGTAAAGTGCCCAAAAACAAGCAACTGCATGAAAAATACTGTACTGAAAGTCCTGATACAAACCATGTACACACTCACTGTCCAAATCCAGCTGCCGGTTAGTTACTCATTCACCAGCCTGTTGGTTGGTGTTAGTAGGGGGTTACATTTCTATGAATAATGTCTTTCAGGCCTTTTTTTTCTCTCTCTCTCTTTTGTGAGCCATGGAAAAATTCCTGTAGAATGGATTTATAGGTGGGACAGATACTGTAGCATTGGCCATTTCATCAGAGGTATCGTTGCAGATATGTCAATGATATTAAGAGGATACCTGGTTGATACCTGGTTGTCGTGCTGCCATGAACTGTCATGCTACCTCTGATGAGATGATGAATACTACAGTATCTGCCCCACCTATTAAACTATTTTACAGTAGCTTCTTTTTTATGGCTCATAAAATAGAGGAAAGAGTCCTGAAAGACACTGATAGAAATGTGTACCCTACAGACACCAATGAAAAGATAGAGGTGACAATCTACTACAAGAGAAAGAAGGCTGCCAACTTGCCACTATGACACTATGAAGAAACTCTTGACTGGAAGTGAAATATCTTGAAAGAGATAAATGTCATTTATACCTTCACATGCCCACTTGGGGTCTGTCAGCCACAACAATCTCTATATATAAGCAAAACAACAACATCTCTTTCAAGGTGCCTAACAATACACAAACAACAATGCTCTATCAAAGAATATATAATTTCTACACAACCAATTCATCACCAGAGATATCCTGGCCAACAACAAAATAATTGACAGATACAATACAATAGAAGATTAGACATTTGCAAAGCACTACATATCAAACAATCTCAGCCAACTATTAATAGCCAGCTGATACTCGGATACATTCTACCATCTCCAAGATCAAGGCAGAATATTCAGCACTCTGTTCCAGCAATCTTAAGAACACAAGAAAGAAAGAAACGACAGAAAGCCTATTGGCCAATGCAACACTCATTCTTCTAGGTTATATATATTCGGTTGCTCACTAATTTGAATACACTTCAAAAACAAAGATGGCCGCCACCACAGGGAAGGACAGCACACCAACAGATGAATGTTTTGAAGGATTCTCAGCACAATATATAATGAAAGATGGTTTTATTGGCAGGTTAGTGATTATTGGGGACCTTCTAAAGAATTATGAAGAAAAGGTAATTAAATTAGAACAAGAAAATGAAGGTCTCAAGATTGAGTTTTGTAATTTAAAAGGAAGTATTTTCCAGCTAGGTAAGGAAATTACCAGCTTAACTGATAAGGTCATTTATGTAATTTATACAGGAGGCACAAATCAAGGAACTAGTGAAAGATAATGAGGTATGGAAAGTGAAGAGTGGTGAATTTGAAGAAATAAACCAGAAAATAGTCTCAACTGGTGAACAACTCTAAGGAACCCTGTGGCTAACATAGAGTTAGGCGAAGATATGCAAAGAGAAACTTGATTGACAACTCACAGAGAGGAGGTTAATAAAGAATTAGAAAAGTACAAGGAGGAAATTAAACATATGCACAAGTTGTAAAAGAGAAGGAGACGATCAAGGAAGTGGGTAAGGAAGTCAAAACCAGAAATGACAAACAAGAAGCAGACATTAGGCAAGTAATTAGGAAAGAACTGGTAACCAACAGTAAACTAGTACAAAACACTGCAAGACAGAAGTAAGTCCATAATAATTTTTGGGTGTTTAGAAAAGGAAATTTCATCTAGGGTGGACAGAGTAGCAGAAAAGATAAAAATCATAGAGAAAATAGTAGGTTTAGGAGAAGGCCTTAATTCAAAGGAAAATGTCAGTGATTTTAGGAGAATAGAAAATATGAGAAAGACAAGAACCATCCCTTAACCCTTAAACCGCTCAATACATATACGATGGGAGTGACTGTCACGAAATTGCACACATCGTACATATACGACTGAGAGTCTAGCACACGATTTTAAATGCCCTGCGAGGGATAGGGGCAGCGATAGTCCAGCCACAGCTGATAGTAAACAGACGCCAAACTATTTGTTTATTGTTTTATGAACATAATACATAACTGAATCACTAATATGCACACTATAATTTTGAGTACAGTATAGCGATGGTTCACACACATTTTATTATATAAATATATCACACTACACACTATTGAATAATATTACAGTGGTACCTCGAAATACAAGTCCCCCTATATATGAGTGTTTCAGAATACGAGCAGGATTTGCTTGGAAAATTTACATCAGAATATGAGCGTTGCCTCGGAAGACGAGGGTGTTGATACGCGTACAGGCCGACTAGCGCGTGGTGGCATGGTGATCATGCCTCAGTTTACCAGTGCCTCGCGCCCAGTGACAATCCCGCCTGAATTCTTCACAAGGATTTACAGTTTTTTGTCAGATTTTTGGTTATTTGAGCATAAAAGTTGTTATTATATATTTCACCATGGGTCTCAAGAAAGCCAGTGGTAAGGTTCAACCTAAGAAAATAGTTGTGAGTAGAGGCAGTAGAGGATGTCCCTTCTTCATTAAAAAAATGTGTGGGAAGAACTGAAATGTTTTGTTGAAAAAACTCACCCAGGTAAAACTGTAGCAGGCCGTTGCATTGACCTTTTAAATGACAATGTGATGTCTTACTACAGACAAGTGTTAAAATGTAGGGAAAAACAAGTGTCCTTAGACAGATTCTTAGTAAGACAAGCAGGTCCTAGTGGTATGAAGGCAAAACGTGCCAGAGAGTGCACACCAGTGAAGTCCTCACTGCCTGATGTTACAATGGAAGGGAGACTCCCCTTCCAAACAGTAACACCTCTCCTCCTCCCTCCTCCTCACCATCTTCCACACACCAACAGCAGTCATCAGCAAGGGTAAGTAATAACTTGGACATACTTTTGTAGTGTAGATTTAGATGAATTAGGTATAAAATTTAGTTTGAAGTGAGGTTTTTGGGTAGTCAGGAACAGATTTTTTCATTTCCCATTATTTCTTATGGGGAAATTGGCTTTGGTTTACGAGTTTTCAGATTACGAGCTGTTTCCTGGAACGGAATAAACTCTTAAACAGAGGTACCCCCTGTACTGCAAAAAACCAGCATTAAATGTAATGAAATGCCATTTTTTGGGTGAGACCCGGAGGCTTCCCAGAGCTATGCCAGGCTGATATGTATATATTAGACCATAGCAACAGTCAATCGAAGGAGTTCTAAGCCTATCGGGGACCAGAGCCAGAACCAGGCTCCCTCAAGAGAGGCAGGAGGAGCAATGGCCTAAAGACACCCCCCCCCATGTAATTGGAAGCAGTGTTTGTCTGCCATCTACCAGGTCAGGCACCCAGAAATGTAGGAATTTCAAAACTTTTTTTACTGCTGGTAAAAAATTGCAAACTGAAAGCTGAACTAGCAAACAGAACTCTTCATTCAAAAACAAGGAAACAAACATGACGTCACCACAACCGCCACGCATCCGTCTGCGCAACTCCCCGTCCCAGGGGGGGGGGTTCCAGACCTCTACGCCAGCAACTCTCCTCAGTTCAGAGGCTGAGTATCAAAAACGCGAAAAAACGCTGACCGGACGAGGGAGGGATGCCGGGAAGCCTCCGGGTCTCACCCAGAAAATGGCGTTTCATTATATTCAACGCTGGTTTTCAGTAGAGCCCCCCTTCGGCTCCCCAGAGCTACCTAACCAAAGATAAGAAGAAAAGGGACTCACCCGTAGGTCATCACGCGCTCCTCAACTCAAAGTCGAGACAACAGGCCACAACCTGTAACCCAAGGCTATACACGCCCAAGAAGGACTAGGAATACTAACAAGGTAACGTGCAGCAGGACCCTGTTAGACCTCCAAAAGCCCCATACCCAAAAGATAGGCCAGGACATTGCCAAAACAGCAGCCGAATGCCAAACTTATGAACGGTGTGGCACGGGAAAAGCTCACAGGCTGGCTGGACTGAATAATCCTGCGAACCACCTGGGAGACCCGCGCCCTGGAATAGGGAAGAAGGGAAACTGGGTCAACCCAAAGCGCGTCATCTGCCACAGAGGCTGTAACATGCAAATCACGGTGATGAAACACAAAACATGATGCACCCCCGTCCAAACCAACCAAGCATCAACAACCCAAGGACCCCCTCAGAGAGCAGCAGACTCATTCTTCGCCAGAAAAGAAGGAGACCGCTATAAACGAAGAAAAGACCACCAGGAATGAAAGAGCAGAAACCCCTGCGCCGGAGGAGAGCAAGAAACTCTCCGACCCGACCCCCAGAGGCCAATGCCAACAAGAA